ATCGCCCCTGCATTGCCTTCTCCATGCTATAAAGCTTCCTTAGCATGAGTAAGTGCTGTGGAGACAAAAACATCTCATTACCTGTGTTTTCTAAGTGAACGGAGAGAGCGTGAAAACTGACCCCACCATCATTTAACTGTATCTGATCTTTTAACCAAACCTTCAAGAAAGGGCTTAATTCCTAATCCTTACATGATTTAGTGGTTGCAATAAAGAGACTACCTTTCTCAACTACCCACCTTTATCCCTTGCTGAAGGTCTTCACTCAAAGGTGGGAAGAACAGGAGATGAGGCAACTCATCAATTTATAGCATAGCAAACCCCTGAAGTGCCATAACATAGGGTGGTAAAATGAGAAAACTGACGGCTGATTCATGATACCTCTTACAATGAACTCCAGTACATGGAGTCCTTCCAAGTTATGGGACAGTAACTGCCTTAACTACCAGAACAAATCCAGCAAGGACTGTGAATCACAGCCCTATTATACAGGGAATGCGAAGACTGTAAAAGGACTGGGCAACAAAAAATACACATGATCTATAAATTACAACAGAAACTGAGTTAATTTTTTGGCATAAAATTGAGATGACAAATCCTGTGTACTGCGTGGGCATAACCATAAAACATGACTAACAGCTGAAATTCGGACAGCATTTCATTTGTCTAGTAATAAATTCCTCAGTTTACCCACTACATATGCAGTTATACGTATACTACTGTAATAGCAGATAAAACACGGTTAAAAATAACAAGGCTTCCCTGATCCATGACTTTTACTTCTTTGGAAAAAGAAAATAATCTGTCTTACCTACCAACCTACAATCTTTGCAATTAAAGTTTCATCTCAGGTAAGCGTAATTACAAGTTGTGAGACTAGGAGAGGATGGAGGAAGACACGAGCAACTATGATCTTCAACCTTGCAAGTCCTCCTTCTTTGGATTAAGAACAAAATTTCCTTTACACTAGGTGTTATTATTAATCAAAGTATGATGCACCTAGTGACACCTTGACCTAGAGAAACATCAGCAAAGGAACATTTAAGTTTCCGTGAAGTTCTTACACTTTGGGATGAAAGACCATATATATTTTATGCATATATGCTTTATAAACCAATGCATATACACACGCGTATATATTTAGTATGAATAGACGTTGTTAATTGAAAACAGAAGTACAAAGAGTGAAACAAAGATGAATCATTAATAGTCATTATCTCAGCACTTCTATCACAGTGACACTCTTTGTCCTTGGTTACTGCAGAAAACCATCATCTATTTCAGTGAGTTTTAGCAAAAATGACCTGTGTTAAAGTATTTACTTACAAGTTCGGAACGTTATTTTCTTTAATAAACTTTATTCCCCCACCTCTCTGGGCAGCCTGTTCCAGTGCTCCACTACCCTCAAAGTAAAGAAGTTCCTTCTCATGTTAAGATGGAACTTCCTATGTTCAAGTTTATGCCCATTACCCCTCGTCCTATCACTGGGTGCCACTGAAAAAAGACTACTCCCATCCCCCTGGCATCCTCCCATTAAGTATTTGTATGTATTAATAAGATCCCCCCTCAATCTTCTTTTCTCTAGACTAAAGAGACCCAAGTCCCTCAGCCTTTCCTCATAAGAAAGGTGCTCCAGTCCCCTAATCATCTTTGTTGCCCTATTTAGTATGAATAGACGTTGTTAATTGAAAACAGAAGTACAAAGAGTGAAACAAAGATGAATCATTAATAGTCATTATCTCAGCACTTCTATCACAGTGACACTCTTTGTCCTTGGTTACTGCAGAAAACCATCATCTATTTCAGTGAGTTTTAGCAAAAATGACCTGTGTTAAAGTATTTACTTACAAGTTCAGAACGTTATTTTCTTTAATAAACTTTATTACACTAAAATTTTCTGTTTGCAACACACTGATAGCATTAATAATTTTATCTCCACAAGGTCTTCACACTCCCAGCAATCCTCATTGAAATCAGTGGGCTTCTGTACCACTGGGAGAACAATCAGCTTACTTCAGGCTAAAGCCTCAGCTTACACTACTGTAGACAAACCATATGGGAAGCCAGAAAAAGCAGCTGCAAAGCAACTCCTTCACCCCCTTGGTTAATTACTTAACTAAAACCATCGATTTCCAAATTTAACATTTCTCATTGTCCTGGTTGCGGCAGGGATGGGTTTAATTTCCCCAGGAGCCGGCAGTGGGCGGGTATTCCATCCCACGTGCCCCATGCCCGGGCTATAAGAGGCGCTAGCCCGGGCGAGGAGAGCAGTTGCCACTTGGGGGTGGGCTGCGGCGGTCAGGGCTCGTTGCTGTGCGGCGGTACTGTAATCGCGTCTTTATATCCCTTTATCGGTGTTATTGTTTTGTTTTCATCTTCCCTTTTGCTGTTCTGTTAAATTGCACTATTTTAACCCACGAGTTCTCCTTTTTTCTGTCGATTTTTCCCACGGCTGTAGGAGCGGAGCGAGCGGCTGGGTGGTTCTTCGTTGCCGGCTGAGGCCAAACCATGACACTCAGCCAGTGGAAGTCATTCTACTTGTTAGGATGTGATTAATATTTACCAATTTGCTGCTGACATGTCATACACTGTGTAGGGTTGAGTTTCCAAGTACTGCACTGATGCCTGGGTAATTCTAAAAGCAGTGTATCATAGGTATTATTTCCTTTTAACTATAGCAACTATGACCCAAGGAAAAAAAAAAAGTCAGCAGTAATTGGCTAAAAAGATGCCAAAATCTGACCGTGGCACTAATTAACTTGAATCACTGAATCAAGAAGGAAAGTCGGGTCACCTGAGCACTGAATTTCGTTTATGATTCCTTTAGTGAAAGGGAACGCAGGTGCAGGGCTATGGGGACTGGGACTGTTCCCGTTCCCCACCGGAGCGGGGACACCCCGGTGACGAGGCGGGCAGGCGCATCCTCCCGGGATGCCGCCGGCGACCACAGAGCGGATCCACCGCGCACCTCCCTTCTCTTCCACCTACCGGACTAAGCCAGCCCACCGCGGGGAAAGAAACAAACGAAGCTACTCCCCGTTCACGACCCGGGGGACTCCCCATTCCACCACCCGGCCCGGCCCGGCCCCGCCGCCCAGCGCCGGGCACTCACGTCCTGGCGGTCCTCCACC